AGAGATCAATTTCGAAAACATTCTGCACGCATTTTGTAATAAGTGTGAGGTTTTCTTGTGTTTTTATCCTCTAACCCAGTTCCGTAAGAAGAAAGCTGGCAGGATATTTCAGGAAGAAGTGGATAGATCTACGTCAGTCCGGTCTGATATGGATCTACTTTGCACGTTCCATCTGGAAATATCCTGCTTATTTCTGAAATATGTGTGTTTTTTTAGATTGCGTTGCCTTCAGTTCTTTCTACGGATCGTACATGTTCAAAGAGATTAGATCGTGCTTCGCAGACAGCCGGTGATTTTCAGTATTGATAATTTATGACAGTATAATTTATGACAGTATAACATCATAAAATATTTTTTATGTTATGCCAAAAGAGAAATAAATTAGAGTTTGCCGTTTATAACCCTTTTCGACATTCCAAATCTTATATATCGTTAAGCGGTCAGTGTTCATGATAAAAACTCTTGAAAACTAACTAATAATATCCGACCTGGAAAAGATGTAAAAAATAACAACTATAAATAATTTTAAAACATACTTGTCAAAAATATTAGCTTAGGAAAAGGTTGGCGTTCATTTACAGCATTGGTGTAAGACAAGTGTAAGAGTGGAATGTGAAGATTCTAAGAGCAAGCGTTTTTGCCGATCGATTGTTCACTCCGCGCTCTCCGCGCCACGTCGGTTTGGATGAATGTCATACAATTAAATGTTAAAAATATTGGTAAAAAGACGCTTAATGACGGTATGAATCAACCGACGTTTGGGCATCACTGCCTTCTTCAGGGTGTTTAAGCTGCTGTGAATGTCATGTGCAGTCTGTCCGCTCTAGCGTCAGGCTCGTGCCCTCCTCTGTGTAGAAAAGAACACTATTTACATTTCACTTTGTACACAATTCCTGTGACTCGATTCTTTAGGCTTTTTGAATACATCATCAAGTGAATGCTGTCTTAACTCTCGTGTCTCCATGCAGATGCATGAACGTGGAATTCTTTTGGAGACTCTTTTAGCATACGGGATTGACGCAAAAACCTCATAACCTTCCGAGACTACTCAGGATCCCGCCCCTTTCTCGTTATCCTCTCATGCCTTTCGATGAATTTCAACGGGTATCCATTATTAATGACTAAAGGTTTGCTGAAACCCTTTAATAGAAGTATTAAAATTATACTAGTTCGACGTTTCGATGTTGCTAACATCATTTTCAAGGCAAGGGTGAAAATATCGAGGTGACATAAAAATTTAAATAAGTGTAAAAACATAATTAACCCTTCTTGTGCATGCTGTAAGAATAACTTCGCGCGGATGGAGTCTGCTTTACAAGGATGGTTGACGTTTTTTGATTACATTTCGCAAATGAGACTCTCCTGAATTTGTTTCGGTACTTTTTGAGTACCGAAAAGTTGTTCAGTAAATTCAGTTTTAACATTCAGTAGTTCTCGAGCATGTGTTTCCCACTTGAAGAGTTTATAGAGCTACGCTCTGCCAAAACGTTGGTGTACATGTCATTTAGCAAAAACCTGAAAAATTACCTGGTTATTTGCCTCTTCACTTTTTTAATCATACCTTTCCAACAAAAAAGGAAAATCCACAACACACAGTGCGTAATTCATGAAGAAAAATAAAACAAATATAGCCGGCAAAGAGTATACAACTTGAAATAATCGCTCTATCGGCGCCTTGTTTCTTTCTTATACTCTTCGCGCGCGAATTAAACCTCTTACGATAAACAAGAGCGCGAGCAAAATCTGTGTTCGAATTCCTCCCTTACTTGCCAGTTTCGTAATGACAAGGTCAATTTCTCTGGCTTGGAAAAAAAAAAAATCGGTCCCCGTCCAGGAACATTTGTAAAACAAAGCAATCATCGCCGGCAGAACCTTGAGGGTTAGGGTTAATCACATGATCATAAACCTCCATCTTCAAAGTGTTTTACATCCGCACTAAAACGCAAAGCCGGCGTTTCCAAGTTCCTCGTTTTGGAAAAGTTCTGTTTTCGGTCCGGCCTGGTATCGGCGTAATGTGGATGGAAAACCTTTGATGCATATTCCAGGTGAAAACGCCGTTTTCAAATTTCTCCTGCGTCGTGTGGACAGGGCCTCACGCAGTCTTTGGTCTTCAAAACCACAGCGGATAAGGCTCCGGAATGGAGGCTCGAGGTCGTCACGACACTGCGTCCCACACATCCTCGGAGGCCCAGGGGTTAGTGGGGCCAAGGAGAAGTCTAATCGGCAAACTTTGACTCAATTCCCTCGCCCCCTCTAACTCCGTAGTCTCCTCCGCAACCTTTATTAGAGTCGTCACGCAACGCTTCTCCTCCTGGGGGAGAAGCGTTGCGTGACGACTCTAATAACGGCTGCTGAGGAGACTACTAACTCCGAGGACCCCAGAAGGATCTGGGAAACTAGTTTCCATTCCTTTCACTCTGTTTTCACTTTACTGTTCCTGTCATGTTTTTTAACCAGGACACTCATGCTATTTTGAGTGGTTTTGTGCGATATTGGTTTCCCTAATTAATGCTGGGTTATCATGAATTCTTTAAGGTACGTTAACTAAGACATAAGCTTTCCAAGCTAACTGTTCCTTGAGGCTCCATGAGTAGCTATCAGTGTTTACAAAATTCAGCGAAAATTCCAAGACTTCAGGAAGCTTCCAAAGTTAGATTTAGACTCAAGCTTATGTTAAAGCTAACTTTGGTAAATGGAACTTAATGAATGGTTTCGACATGTCGTTTAGGCGCTTGATTTAAAATGTCGGATCTTTAGGATCTTTCGACCCTCTACTCGTGCCTTAGAATTTATATGCAGTTGTGATTCAGTGGTCGGGTTGCGTTGATTAAGCTTCTAACATATTAAGCTTTTAGAAGGTTTACTGATAATTGTGGCGTAGATCTACTACCTTGACAACTTGTTCCTGCAGAGCAAACTCAATGGACTTTCAATAACTGACTAGTGTACACAAAGTATGTTATTTACATGCTTATTCTCAGTACATATAGTGCACTGTATAAGGCCATTACCAAGGAAAGCCAATAACATACAACAGCTCATGCAGAGAAAACATAATGAAACAAAATTGATATAGTGATTCCATGAGCTAAGGTGCACGTGCTAAGATGTATAACGGTTATATTTGAATGTGATGCTCGCACAAGTTCTAAGATTAAGAGATGGTTATATGGTGAGTACTGGATGTGCAATGTATTCGTAATACAGGATGTATAAGAGACTCATGTTATGTAGTGAGCTGTGTGTGTGGGTTGACTTGCCGTGCACAAGTAAGCTGAACATTAACAGTCGAGTTATTAAACTGTTGGCTGTTGGACTCTTGGAGTGGAAGTTGTTGTTGCCCACGCTCGTGACAATAAGTATCACTGAGTCAAAAACAGAGTTGTGCATCCATTGCCCATGAGTCAATAGGTCTTTTCAAGTATACAACATGTAAATACATGTACTTGTAGCAAATTAACCCGAAGTATGTTACTTGTTTGTAGCTTTGACTGGTTGGAGTATTCTTATTTTTTTGTGACAGGAAGAAGGTTGGCAATTTCATTGCTGGTAGTGATACCAGTCAATCTGCACAAGCAGAGCAGCAAGGTAGCTATGATGCTAAAGGCAAGCACACCCCATTACCTGTCGATCATTACCTCTTCTCAGGAATGAAGTATGATATTCACTTTGTCACTGTTGATGTCACAACATTTGGAAAGAGTAAGTGAAGACTTCGGCAGGTTTTGTTAACTTTTATGTAACCTTTTTTTTATTTGTCTTACTGCACTACATGACCATAAGAAGTATGTGTGGTAAGGATGGTGAGTTAATTGTTAGTGTGCTGGACTCTGGATCAAATGGTCTGGTTTTAAGTCCTGGCCAGGGTCACTGTGTTGTGTTCTTGTGCAATATACTTTACTCTCTTCTCTTCACCCAGGTGTATCAATGGGTACCAACAAATTTAATGCTGGGGTGATCCTGTGATAGATTAGCATCCATCCAGGGAGGAGTAGAAAATTAATACTCCTAGTCACTTCAAGCTCTGCTGTGAAAACCAGGTATAAGCACTGGCCTGACGGGTTACTAGGCTTGTGTTTTGATTGGCATTTCTCCATGATCATGTGATGTATTCACTCTTTACTGAATAAATTAGTGTATGTTTGGATTCACTCGTGGCTGTTTATTACATTTGGTGACGAGACATTTCATTCTAGATTCGTACAGGAATGGTGACCTATGGAAAAATAGGCAAATTCAAAGAATCAGAAGAATCATGGACCCAGTATGTAGAGCGGCTAGAACAGTATTTCCTAGCGAATGAGGTGGAGATGTGGCGAAACGCCGAGCAATTCTACTCAGTGTTTGCGGAAGTAAAACATACGCACTTCAACCAGCAAAGCTCGCAGGACACAACTTTTAAGAAGATTGTCAGCACACTTGAGAAGCACTTTTCACCAAAGCCAAGTGAGATAGTGGAGCGTTATAAATTTCATAGCCGAAATCGAAATGAAGATGAAGGAGTTGCGGCATACATGGCAGAATTGCGTAAGCTAACCGAGCATTGTAATTTTGGCGAGATGTTACCAGAAATGTTACGAGATCGGTTGGTCTGTGGTATAAACAACAAGAAAATCCAGCAGTGATTACTGGCGGAATGAGAGTTGACACTCAAGAAGGCCAAGGAGATTGCTTTGGGAGAAGAGTTAGCAGCGAAGCACATGGTTG